GATGATAGACCTAACTGCAAAAGCTAAAATAATAAAACTCTGAAAGAAAACACAAGAAAAACTTTTGCATAGGCAAAGATTTCTTAGGACATAAAACACAAGTATGAAGGAAGAAAATCATAAATGGACTTTAAAATTAAGAATGTTGGCTTTCTAGGACCTCATTAAGAAAATGCAAAAGCAACCTACAAACTGGAAGAAAATGTTTGCAATATCTGACAAAGTTATTATATTCACAATATATTTTTAAAATCACAATTCTATAAAAAGACAAATACAAAAATATGGCCTAGTTATTATACTCCTAGATACTTACTCTAAGAGAAATGAAAGCATAAGTGTACACAAAGACTAATATATGAATGTGCACAGCAGCCTTATTCATAATAGCTACAAACTGAAAACACCCAAATCTTCATCAATAGAAGAATGGATAAACAAATTGTGGTATATTAGTACAAAGGAACACCACTGGGCAATAGATTTTGTGATCCATATAAAAACATTTTGGTGAGCAAAAGAAGCCAGATACAAAAAAAATGCATACTTTTCATGGTGATTATATTTATACAAAGTACAAGAAGCAGCCAAATTAATCTGTAAGGACAGAATTTAGAAAGTAGTTATATTGTTGGGGGCACAAGGAAACGGTGGGATGAAGAAAATGTTGGATATATTTTTTTAGAGTGGTGGTTCTTTTTGTGTATACAACTGTCAAAATTCACCAAACTTAAGATAATAAAAAAGAACCAGTTAGCTTGAGAGCTTATTCCACACCAAACAGCTGTGGAACTATCTTTTTTTTTATTGAAACATAATTGATTGAATTTATCTGTGGCATACAGTGTTGAATATCAATATCTGTGTGCAATATATGATGCTCAAATCAGGATAATTACTATATTTATCATTACAAAATGTAATCATTTTTTGTGGCCCTTTACCAATTTCTCGCTAACCCTCTACATGATTTTGCAACCAGAGGGGAGCAAAATAAAACCAAAATACCATGATCTTGATCTGGAGCTTCCAGGTGGTAGCCATACCCCAGCAGCGTGCGCACAGCCTCGCGCAGGCTGTCCTTGTTTGATTTCTTGGTTCTATCATCCAGAAGAGTGTAGGGAACAAGGCGAGGGTTTCTTCTGTTCTTTACATCCTACAGGAAAAAAAGGTGCACAGTCATCAAAGCAATAACAAGGGCTTTTAGAAATAAGGCAGCTACCAAATACATCAAAATGTAAAGCTTTTAGGTGGTAAAAGCTTCCCATTCCACATCCCCTTTGTCTTAGGCTACAGAAGTTACCAAAACACTATTAATATAAAAGATTTAATCAAATGAATAAGTGCCTCAATTTAAAGCAGCTCCTCTACCGGAGAAGAAAGAATAACAAAAGCCAGCTTCAGTGATCTCTAACCACTCCCATCTTACGTGGTCACAAGGCAATGCGCTAACTCAGAGAATAAGAAATTTCTGAGTGCAGTTAACTGACAAGTCTTTGATCCGAGAAGAGCCAAATTAGCACTCGTCACCCCTCAGTGATTTTGAGTCAACAGACAAGACAAGACTGCTTTCTCTTGTTAAGAGAAAACCCATTGTGTCATAAACAGCCATTCTATGTCCCTCAAATAGCTTGAAAAATATGCATTAGGTTGACTCCATCAACCAATGAAACCAGGCAATACCAGGAGTACTGAAATGACTACCAAACTCATAATTTTTCTATCATATAGAAGTCTCCAAATTTAAAATGTAGTTAAAATGTTGCCGGCAAAGTGTGAGGACACGCTATTTTGCTATTTTGGCAGAAGGAGGCCTAATTTTAGAGTGGGTGCAAAATCTACTTTCAGGGAAGGCATTTGCGTTAACTCCTAAAAGCACTTAGCGCATTGCCACTTAGGAAATTACTTCTTTCCACTTGCTCACTGAGACTCTACTATAGTATTTGCCAAAGTTTCCATATTTCAAGAAGCATCATCAATTCTTAATGGACTTTGGCATAAAGAGGAATTGAGAA